TTTTTTTTTTTTTTTTTTTTTTTTTTTTTTTTTTTGAGACAGGGTTTCTCTATAGTCCCAGCTAGCCTGGAACTCACTATGTGGACCAGGCTGGCCTTGATTTCACAGAGGTCTGCCTGCTTCTGCCTCTTGGGTGCTGGGATTAAAGTCGTGCACTGGCTTCTATTTGTTTTTTTGGTTTTTGAGACAGGTTTCATGTATTCCAGTCCTCAAACTCCCTATGTAGCCAAAGATGACCTAAAACTCCACCACCATGCCCAGTTCATGCTGTACTGGAAATCAAACCCAAGACCCTGTGCACATTAGGCAAGTGCTCTATCACAAAGGGTGATAGCTAAAAAGAGCTCTCTCTTCTGCATCTTCTAGGAGCTGTGAAGTCACTGACCATGACTGAGATCATTGATGAACCGTCTGAAGGCTCAGGGGCTGGTTCCCAGAGGTTGGTACTGGGATCTGCCCCCCTTTGTTTGCTTGTTTGTTTGCTTTCTGGGAGGAGTTGATGATTAAGCACTTGTCCTCCCTTTCCCAGCCAAAAGCCAATTCCATCATCTTCATTGCTACAGCACCTTACCTCATCCAGAAGGACATTAAGCAAGGAGCCCATCTCATGGCTCAGGTCTAGTTTTGAAAGGAAACAAGGCTCTTCCCACAGACTCTGGCAAAGATTGTGTAGGACCTGTTTCCATAGAATCATAAAACAGCAGGAAGGACCAAAAAAAAAAATCCAAGTGTCACTCCTGCTTAAAGATGAACAAAGAGGCTGGGCGTGGTGGCGCACGCCTTTAGTCCCAGCGCTTAGGAGGCAGAGGCAGGCGGATCTTTGTGAGTTAGAGGCCAGCCTGGTCTACATAATGAGTTCCAGGACAACTGGGGCTACAGGGAGACCCTGTCTCAAAAAGACAAAAAAAAAGATGAACAAAGAGAAAGAAGCAGACTGTTAGTTCAAGGCTTCAGACCTAGGATGGGGCTCTGGTACCAAGATTTCCATTTGCATGCTCTAGACCCTCTGACATGGAAGCCTACTAGGTTCTGAGCTGCTAAAGGCCTCCATCCATCAGTCCATCCTCCTCTCCACCTATGTTTACTGACTGATTGTACTAGGTCATTTGAAGACACTGATAGAGATAAAGACTCAACATTTGGATTATTTGTCTTGAAACACGTTTGTCATTTGTTACCAAGAGACAGTGTGGCAGCATGTAAACCAAGAACCCCGGACATGGAGTTCAAAGACCCAAGTTCATATTCCAACTCTGAGCTGCTTCATCCCGAGTAGCTATGAAAGATACTTGAGCCTTAGTTTTCTCAACTATGAAATGGGGAAATACTTGATTTGCCTAGTTCACCCAACTGCCATGTATATAAAAAGAGAGAAACTTCTAGGAAGTATGTTGTAAATAAAAGTGATGTGAAAGAATAAGGCTTCTAGAAATGTCAGGTGTGGTGACTGGTCCACACCTATGAATCCCAGCAGTCAGGAGTTTAAGGAGGGAGGACTGAGTTCCATGCCAGCTTGGGCTACATAGGGACATCCTGTCTCTAAAACAAAATAAACATTTCAGGACTTGTGGAAAGCGTGATACTGTGATGTTCCTTGATTTACCTATCAAGTGTCAAATATGTGAAGGAAACAGAGAAAATAAAAGTGAGCAACCCACTCTTGCAACCTTCTACCTTCCAGCTGGGCATAACAGCCCCAATCTGTTGTAACCTTTGAGGAGATTAAATATATGCTTGTGAGGTATCACATGTCAACCGCCAATCCTGACCCATTTCTCTCCATCTGATACATGTAACAACAGTACAAACGGTGTTGTAACCTTAATTGCTCCCGGTATTTTGAAATCCTCAGATTAAAACTAGGGAAGGACAAAGTATTAGCTTTGTGTGCCCAAGGAGTTGCAGGAGCCTGTCTGCATTCACTGGAGCAGGGGGTATTGCAGCATGGCTTCCGAGACTGCCCTGAGAACTTCAGGGCTGAATGAAGGTCCTGTTCATGGAAAGGCCGGGGACTAGCCCCTTTCCTGATCTTGTTTTGTGGGTTTTACTTTGGGAGGGTGGGGTAGAGAGGTTTCATGTAGTCCAGACTGGTCTTGGACTTGCTCTGTAGCTGAGGCTGGCCTTGAACTCAATCTCCAAATGCTGGGATTACAGGCATGTACCACCACACTTGGCCAGCTCTGTAGGCATTTGCCCATTTCCCACCTTGCTTCTATTTATTTGCAGTACCTGAGTCACACCGCCTGTGCTGCATTGACTTGATGTTGTGGGTTTGCTTCTCTAAGTCATCTCTGCCTGAGTGCTAGCAAAGAACAAGGGTGTCACTGAAAACACTGTGGGCCCAGAGCTGATAAGTTAGGCTTCATGGTAACGTTAAAATTTTATACCATGACCCAGGCATGGTAGCCCACACTATAATCCCAGAATTTGAGAAAAAAAAAGGCAGGACTCAGTATGAGGGCAGCCTGGGCTACAACAGTGAGACCCTATCTCAATCAAGTAAATCAACTTTTTTTAATGTATCCCATACTGGTTGCCTTGGGAACCAGTGCCAGACAGATGGATGGGGCCAGAGGGAACAGGGGTCCTATTTTATGTTCTAGATTGAACTTTGGCTATCATATGTTGTAAGAATTCACCAAACTACACATCTGTATGTGCATTTTTTTTTCTCCTGTAGATTTAGATACTTTATAAAGAAAATTTTAACATCTATTTGTGTGGGGGTTGTAGAGGTGCCCCATGCCATGGTATGTGTGTGGATGTTGGAGGACAACTTACAGGTGGATAGGCCAGCAATCTCTTTCCACCATATGGATCCTGGGGCTTGAACTCATGTCAGCAGGCTTGGCAACAGGCTACTTTACCTACTGATCCAGCTCCATAGCCCTCCAATTTTATTTTTTGTATTTTTTTAGACACTCATACATGCATGAATTCTTTTGATCATATCCCCCATCAGTCCCCTCAAGCCCCAAACTCCTCCCACACTCCCAACTTTCTCACCTTAAAAAAAAATAACCCCTGGGGCTGGAGAGATGGCTCAGTGGGTAAGAATACTGGTTGTTCTTGCAGAAGACCGAGTTTGAATCCCAGCACCCACATGGCAGCGAACACCTGTCCGTAACTCCAGTCCCAGGGGATCTGACAGCCTCTTCTGACCTCTGCAGGCATTGCATGACACAGGTGCGCTTATCTACATGCAGGTAATACACACATACACATAAAATAAAGTATTTTTTTAAATACTTAAATAACCCACTGACTCCAATTTGTGCTGTTCATATATCTGTGAGTGTGGTGCCATCCACTAGCATGTGGCCACACCCTCAGAAAAAAACTGTCTCTTCCCTAGAAGTCTTCAACTGTCAGAACCTCCTTAGGTAAGGGTGGGGGCTGGTAAGTCCTTCTCCCTAAGCTGGGTAGTTTTATTTTAATCACTCTAATTTGCTTTGTTTAGAAGAGATGTTGAATCCAGAGCGTGGTGGCGCACACCTTCAGTCTCAGCATGTGGGAGGCAGAGGCAGGCGAGAATCTCTGAGTTCAAGGCCAGATGGGGCTATAGGGAGACCCTGTCTCAAAGACTCCCCGACCCAAAAAAGTTGAAGGAACAGTAAAGCTAGATATCCGATTCAATCACACATCATCTTTCTCTACCTTTGCGATCCCAATCAATGCATTCTAGGCAGTTTTTCCTGGTTTTCATATCCATTTTTAAGGAGTGGGTAGGGGTAGGAAGGACTACCATTACCCATCCTACCCAGGCTTCCAGACCTGCATGACCCTCTGTCAAGGTGAATGGAAGTGATAAAATTCTGTTTGGGACCTGTGACATTTTCCTGGGGTATTCACAATCTTCATCAAATTCTCCAGTTCCAGGCTGGAGAGATGGCTCAGCAGTTAAGAGCACTGGCTGCTCTTGCAGAGGACCCAGGTTAGATTCCCAGCACCCAGGTGGTGGCTAGCGGCCCTCTATAACTCTAGTTCCAGGTGAATCCAACGCCCTCTTCTGACCTCTGCAGGCAATGCATGACATGGGTGCACTTACATATATACAGGCAATATACTCATACACATAAAATAAAGAAATATTAAATAATTCTCCAGTTCCCTAACCTAAATGACTAAATAAAGACCAGAGAAATTTCTGGTTTGGGTTTTGTTGTTACCATTGTTTTGAGACAGCATCTCTTGTCACGTCTCTCTGGCTGCTCTTAAACTCTAAAACCTATGGTCTCAGCCTCCAAATGTCTACCAAAGATGATACCCCATAACTACTACCTGTCTGCCTCTCCTGTCATCATCCCCTCTTACCGCATGAGGCTCTAACCCCTAAAGTTTGAAGATCTTCTCAATCCAGCCTGGAACAGCAACAGGCAGGCAGAGCGCCCTCAAAAGAAACTCACCACACCTCTTTACGAAACCAATTTATTAAAATTTCTCTACAAGTCAGCAGCAGCGTGCCACAATCACATATCTACACACGCACAGAAGACCTAGTGTTTCCAGCTGTCCTGGCAAAAGCCCCGGCCAGCCCCGAGTCCTCAGCTGGGGAATGTATCACAGATACAAGAGCAACCGTGACAGAGGCCTGTCCTCCCTCCTCCCCGAGTCCACCCTCCCACAGTCCCCTCAAGGTTGTATTGCCAACCATCATTCACATTTCACGTGGCTCTAAACACGCAGGTTACTCAGACAGACACAGACAACAAAACAAGCCTCAGAGCCAAACAACAACAATCAGACTTAAGTATAAAAGGTAAAATATATGTACAAATATAAAGTACACAGTACGTGAGGTATACACGGCATTCTTACAATGTTAGTAGTCTGCCTAGGCATAGCCCTTGAAGATGCCTGCCTGCTCTTGTGCCATTTCTCCAGATACAGTATGTTTTGTTACCCGTTTAACCACCTGATTTAGCACTGCTGCAGATAGTGACTGCTATTTCATCTGTATTTGTTTCTTTTTTAATGCAACTTGCAACAGTTTCTCTGAGAAGCTTTACCTCTTGTAGGGAGTGAGTTTCCATCTCTGGAAGCACCCAGGCAGAGGCTGGGTTCCACCTGCAAAAGTTGAGATGGGGGGGAGCATTTTCTGGCATACCCCAAGAGGAGAGAAGTTAGATCAGATGAGTTTAAACATCCTTCCCAACTAAGTTGTCAGGGTTTGCTCTGTTACTCCACAGCTGGGTTCATTAAGCTGCAGGACGTGAAATCTGAAGATCCATCATGAACAGGTTCAGACTCAGGATGCCAGAGGCACATTGGACCCACTGGGGAGGGGGATCTAGTATCATTCTGGAAGTTAGCCTGAGAATCTTTTCAAAACTGTCCCAAATTCACTTTCCTTGAAGCACAAAGATGGTTCATGTGTGTTACTTAGGAAGCAGCGTAGAGAACCTCCTCACCCTTGTCCACCCTGAGATGGTCTTGGGGGGAAAAAAGTAAGAGGTTAGTGCTAGCATATGTGAGGAGATCCTAAAGAGCCAAAGCCTTCCAATGATCAAATTATTATTTTTAAAAAACGTTGCAGTCTGATTGATCTCAGGAGTTCTGAAACAGCTAGGAGCTTGAATCTCTTGATATTTTCCCACAATTTGCTGGTAAGTGCTTTCATAGCTGCAGGGGACAGGTTTCAAGGTCAGGGGAAGGCATTATTGCATACAAAGTTTTGGCAGAATATAGAGGAGAGTCCAGATTCAGGCAGGCTCCTGAGCTTCCAAACAAGTCTATTCCAACACTGGAGCAGAGGCATAAGTACAGGTGAATCTATGGCAAGGGTGGGGGACGCACCAAACAAACAAACCAAAAAACCCCCTTTGTGATCAGAGAAACTGCAGTAGCAAGTCCAAGTCTCAGACAAGTTCAAAGACGGCAAGATTGTTGGCCCAAATGATTTGCCACCTTATTAAAATGCCATTGTGCGATTTGCTTCCTTTCCCATTCAAATGTTCAAGATCGTTACACTGATCACACCGGATGTCCCCTTCAAAACATGTGGCTGCCCTCAGGTCTGATGAAAGGACAGTGATGATGGTTCATTTAAGACAGCTCAGCTGAGCAGCCAACCTACATGCACGCCACACTCAAATCAATCAAGTCACTCATCCCAAACCAGGGCAGCACCACACCAAGTCCCACAGGGACAACCGTGCTCCAGTCCTCGATCTGACTGGCACCACATCAAAGGGCCTGTCCATCTTTAGAAATGGAAATGCCATGTGTGAGAATTATGAGGTTTCTGAGGTTTTGGGCGGGGGGGATTAGCAGAAGAAGGAACTAATGTCACTGTCCTCCTGGAACTCGGGAACAATCTGGTCTGAAGTTCCTATTTCTGAGTCAACATACCCAGGTTCTAAGACATACTCAAACCAGGGATGGAGTAAGATTTCGGGAGCCGTGAGTCTCTCTGAAGGTTCCCGTCTCAGGAGGCTGCGGATGAGGCACCTGGCTTTGGGGGAAACATGCTCAGGAATGCAGAACTGTCCTCGGCGGATTTTGGAGAAAAGTGCACTGGGGTCTGAGTCATGAAAGGGGTATCGTCCTACCAAAAGGGTGTAGAGCATCACCCCAAGGCTCCAAACGTCTGCTGCCTTGCCAGAGTAGGTCCCTGTGGTGTTGAGGATCTCAGGGCTCACGTAGGCTGGACAGCCATGCTTGTCTGATAGTGCATCGTCTTCACCCTTGATTATGTGAGTGTCTTCCAAACTTTCCAGTCTGAGCTGGGTTCTGCAAGAGAAAGAAACTGAGCTATGATCTCCAGAGTGGCTGCTACAGTAAAACAAGGCCTTCAGAATAACAGTGCCCACAGGCAACAAAAGCCAAGGCCGCAGGAATGTCATTTACCCCTTCATCTAGTAAGCACTGTCCTGCAAGCACCCAGGACTGGCGATTTCACAAACCAATACAAACTGCAATAAATGTTTGCAAAGTATTGAGAGAATACCCAGGGTGGAGGGTATGATGCAAAGTCTCAAATAGTATTCATGATGCTAGAGCTTGTAAGAGATATCCTAATAGGGTTACACAACTGACAAAGTTCACATTGCAGAACCGGGAGCTGGTCTCAGGGGAAGGCTGACATGCTCTACAAAAGCTGTCAGGGAAGAAGAGTCTATGCATCCTTCTTCCTCATGGAGGGCCTGTGCATCCTGACTGCCCAGGCTATTCAGACACATGCTCTGCGTTATAGAACATATGGCACCAAATCACTGTCTGATACTGCTGCCCACACTGATAGACACACAGAGGAAGCTCTGTTCACCCAAGTCCCAGCTGTGATAACTACGATGGGAAAGTTTCAAGGAATGTTAATTGACATTTATTGGCATGTTTCACTGCAAAGAATACTTAGCTTGAATAGAGAAGTTGTGGGAGCAAACAAGTGAGGCTGAAGGATCTGAGGACTTTGCAAGGCCCCTCAACACTCCTGCACTAGGACTGAAATCAATGAGCACTCTTAGGTGTCTACATGAGGGTCTCTATTTTTCAGTTACTGTTTAAAAAGTCACTTGAGAATAGGAAGGACCAAGACCAACGTGGAAAGGAACTACAGTCTGGAAAATCTTAAAGACACTCATAAAAGAGCAGGTACCCGGTTATTCAGAACCAGCCACCCACATCTCCTAGACCACCCCCTCCACCCTCCACCCACGAGCTCAGAGACATGTGGGGCACCACTCATATCTCATATCCGGTCCCTGCTTCTCTGAAATAGCCTTATGTCGGTAAGTCACTTGTTGAAAAGTTATATGCAAACATTTGGTCAATTCCTTTTCCTCTCAAAGGTCTGGTGGTTTCTTTTTTTCTTTCTTTCTTTTCCAGCCTTCCTGTTCCCTGGAGTCTAGTATACATGTGCTAACTTCGGTATGTCCTCAGCATGACCTCCCTGTCGTTATGTAAAATACCCATTGGTTCTGTAAACGGAAAATATGACTCAACACACACTGTCTGCCCCTGATTGGCTCCTGTAGTGCTAAAACCCTGCACCTGTGCTGGTTACACGAATAGTGTCAGCCTGCCATTGCTTAACCCTCGGGTTGCCAAACCCCATGCCCATGACACTGGCCTGTGCAATGCAGATTTCAAAAGCCAGTGAGGAGGTGTGTAAAGCATGTTTCAGAAAAATGCATCACTATATCAAAGAGGCACGTTCCAGGAATCGGACACTTTTTCATTGCAGCTGCTTCTGTGCTAATCGGTATGTTTCAATAGTTAGTACAAGGTCAGATACAAAGTCATGCTGTAAGCCACTTCAACCCTGTACTTTTTTAAGCTCTGGAGTTACAGGTAAAAATGCACAGGTGGGGTAAGCAAAGTAATTCACTCCCACCCTGATAATTCTACACTTGCTCTGCGTCTTCCTGCCACAGATGTGGTCTTCCTCTCAGGATGAGGTATGATCCATCTCCTGCAGCTTCCTGAAGTCTCTCATTGAAACCTCCACCTTGAATCTTAATGCTTTGTTATTCCCTTATCAAGCACATCTTGTCCTTTATGAGGTAAGCCAAGATCTATATTTAGCAGTGCATACTAGCCAACCTCCATTTATTATTCAATGTGGCTATTTTCTGAAAATGTAGCCAACGAGATGTCTAAAAAGTTCACCAAAGTGAACAAACTATGGGGGCAGAAGCTGGGGTATGGGTGTAGAAACTGAAATGGAACAGGGATACAGTGTGATGGGGTGGCTGAAATTCTGCAACACAACAGTCTACCTCTGGGATGCCTTCTAGGCTCAACAGAGCCACTCAGGGTAAGCAAAACTATGACAACTTCTTGGAGTTAGTATGATTAAGGGCATATGAACATTTTTTTCTTTTCTGACAAAAAATAAGCCTGACCCTGGGGCAGAAGTAGGGAAGATACCCAGTTAACAGGCAGCGTCCACAAAAGCACCCAGGTGTCCCTGGGCTGGGGTGCTAAACGAACCAACCGTGGCCATGGCTATTCAAGTGGAGGGCTTAATACTAAACCAGGGAACACCTGCACCCTTGGGTTTGTCTTGCACCTAACTGCACAACCTGTACCTTCGTTTTGGTTCCAAAAGGCCACAGGAGGAGCTGTGGCAGCGGCTCACCTCTCCTCCGTGGAGAAGACGAATTTCCGAAGCTTCAGGTCCCCCAGCACGATGGCTGACTGGTGGCAGTGGGCCACGGCAGAGACAATCTGCTTAAAGAGGCGGGCAGCCTCCTCTTCCCGGAGCCTCTTCCGGCTTCGCACATAGGAGTGCATGTCCCCAAAGTCCTTTTCAAAGAAGACATAGGCCTTGGTCTCCCCAAGGATCACTTCCACGATGCCAGTAATATTTCTGTGCGATGGTAGCTGGATGTAAGGCCTGATCTTGTCCTGGTAGTGTTTAATGGGAAACACCTGTAGAAAGAGAAGGTGACCTGTTTAGAGGGCTAGAAAAGCAGGGGCTGCCTCCCAGATCCAGTAGGAAGCTGGACCCACAAATCTTTGGGCTTTGAATGACAGCAAGCACCATTCATATATTCCTTTATGTCTGCCACCCAGCTCTTGATGCTCTGATACCCTTAAAACCACACCTAAGGCTCTGGGCTAACAAACACCTAAAAGCTACCCCCTTCTGTAAGATGACTCGAAGGAACTATCTTCTGGGGGCTCTCGGCTCCTGGAGCCAAGCCCAGCACTTCACTGAGGTCCTTTCTTGCAGATAATGCTGTGAACGGTGGGTGAAATAAATGTGCCCCAGCATCTCCAGGGGTGAGAAAGAACCACTAGATATGCATGTGTCACAGCACAGTCAAGGAATATGGTGACTGCGACCTCCAAGGGGAAGCAGGGGCTGAAACATGCAGAGCTGTCATTAGTCAGACGGACAGATGACTTGGAAGGAGACAACATGACAACGCAGCCTTAAGCAACCTGCCTACAGCTGTGACTCAGGTCAGCCCTGTTACCTTCTCACAGGAGGGGATGGGCACCTCTCAATGGTCTTTTTCATCTGTTTGTTTACACGCCCCCCACCCTGGCTGCCCCGCCTCCAGAATGGATAGCAAGTCCTCTAAGATTCTGGCTGGTCTCTTTAAGGGCCTTTTGTTCAGTCGGGTTACTCATATCCTAGACTCAACTGGAAATGGTGACACATGGGCTGTCACCATCTGGATTCGGCTATTATCTGCTCGGAGGAACTGGAAGGGGTTGCACAATGACCCAGACCCACCCCACCTCTGAGGTGGCTGCTCTAGCACCAACTGGAAAAATCTCTCTGCTGCCCTCTCCCCAGCCCCACCCACCCCACCAAACACATGTTTCTCCCAAACCTGTTCTCAGCGCCCCCACCAAGAAGTTTCTTTCACCCTTAAAACTGGACTTGACCGTTCATTTGAAATTTCACAGAAGTGGACAGTAGGTGGCAG